TTAAAATTTTGATCGATTAGATATTTTGTCACAATTTTTAATCTTTAAAATCTTAGGTCTAGAAGAGTTGGCCAACACCTTAATAATTTCTCAAAAAAAAGTAAATTAAATAAATTAAAATATTATTACTTGCAGATCGCAAACTGGAATTCATAAGACAAGATTTTTTTTACATATATTTCTTTCTTTCTTTAATTGTTAGCAAAACGAGATTTAAATAACCATCAATAAACCAAACTATTTATTTCTCCTCTCCTAGTAAATGGCATTATTGCTATTATTCATCATTGGAACCGCCAAAATGTGATAACCAATCGTTAAGGCATAAAATATGAATCATTTTTCAAACATTTATGTGTCAACCGTGCGCCGCTGTTATATCGGTGGCTTATCTTTCAACTTCAAATAATTTACTAAGAGCTATTTTAAAATTCTAAGAATCTGATCTGACTAGAAATATATTCAAACAGGTATAAAGCATTCACAGCGTGTTCCGGCAATTTTGAATTAATCTTTGAAATTAGAAGTGAATCATAATTTATATAAATTTCTAATATAAAAAAGTTTATGTTTGAAATTATCTGAAATTCAAACTGCGTGTCTACCCTCCATATGTTAGAATACGTTTTCGATCAAATCAGATTTTTTTTCAAATATAAAAAAATATCTTTCACTAAATAATTTAAAATCGATAGATCCCAAATACTCGTGGATTGAATATCTTAGTACCACATATATATATATAGATAAAAAAATTCGTAAAAATGAGATTAAAAGTTGTTGAAATCTTTCTTTCTTTCTTTCTTTCTTTCTTTCTTTCTTTCTTTCTTTCTTTCTTTCTTTCTTTCTTTCTTTCTTTCTTTCTTTCTTTCTTTCTTTCTTTCTTTCTTTCTTTCTTTCTTTCTTTCTTTCTTTCTTTCTTTCTTTCTTTCTTTCTTTCTTTCTTTCTTTCTTTCTTTCTTTCTTTCTTTCTTTCTTTCTTTCTTTCTTTCTTTCTTTCTTTCTTTCTTTCTTTCTTTCTTTCTTTCTTTCTTTCTTTCTTTCTTTCTTTCTTTCTTTCTTTCTTTCTTTCTTTCTTTCTTTCTTTCTTCTCTTTCTTTCTTTCTTTCTTTTTCTATCTTTCTTTCTTCTTTAATGATTCTCCTAAAAAACATAAAATAAGCGCTGTATTAAATTTCAAAATTTTAAAGTTTTCTGTAAAAAATCTGGGTCTATCAAGCTTAGCCCTGAATTTTCTAAGGCACCTGCCACGGCTCAAATGCCAGGAAAGAGCGGTAAAATTTGAAAAAAAAATCTAGGCTGAGCTTAAAAATAATTACTGTCGAACCGCGCGTAAAATAAAATTACAAGGCCGAAACGATTAATTTTTTTGAAATAAATTAATCAGTTGGAAAATAGAATAAAGGATAATTTATCATTTATTATTGCTCATTTATCTTCTATCCACAAATATAATGTGGGCCTAAAGATTTTGGTCATAGATGGCACAAAGATTTGGACTTTTATTAACCAAATCTCTAGGTTTATGCAATATTTCTCTAGCTAAAATAATGAGTTAGCCGTTTTTAAAAATCGGCTCCAATCGAGCCGCTTAACAACACTACTAGGGATGCAAAATTGCTTCATTTGAGCCTATTTTTAAAAACGGCTAACTCAATATTTTAGCCAGAAAAATATTCTCTAAGCGTCGAGATTTCGCTAATAAATGTCCAAACCTTGTCATCTATGAACAAAATCTTTATGCTTGTATAGTAGTTTTCTGAATATAATACTAATTTAGCGATTTTTAAAAATCGACTAAATGGAGCAAATTTGCATCACTTGCTACAATTATAATTTGCATTTTGTGGCTAATTTTTTTAATTTATCTAATGCATTGTATAATATTTTTAGTCGTTTTAACGTATCCTGTAATATACAGACCATACTCTTAAGAAACTTTTAAACCAGAGGGGGGCAGGTCATTTAGAAACTCATTTAAAAAATCTTGAGGCTATTGGTGAAGTATTATTTTACTTTTCTAATAGAATTCTTAACTATACATTATACTGGTCATATAATTTATGAGGTATTCATAACAATAGATCCCCTAAATAAGTGTCTAAAGTCAATAGGTACCAAATAGTGTTGCTAAAAATTGTATTTATACCACAATTAATAATTTAAAAAATAAAAGAAGTGATAATCCCTTTAATTTGATTAGAATTAAGGCCTAGAAATTTTAAATCTATTCTCATCCTTCAAAAATCATCAAGGGTAAAACGCCTACAAATCTATATGGTTTTCTAGTCGATACCAAATTGCATTTTGATTGTGAAAAGGACTTCAATTGGAGTTCTTTAAAGAAGAATTTATAACATTATTGATTACTTTGTAGATCGTTTTTTAGATATATTTACGCAAGAAGATTGTAATCTTCTATCATGTTTTAGTACATTGTCCGCCCTTGACCCTGGAAATTACCACATCAGAATCATTATCAAACTTAAATATGGAAACCTTACATCATGAAATGGAATAGCAAAGAATTATTACCTTCAGAAGTTAAAGAAACATAAAATTAAAAATATCGTAAATATTATATATAAAAATATGTCATCTTGCATTTATAGAATTGTATAAATGGTACTCAGCAGCCATCATCATGCATTAACGGCTTTATGTGAGGACTCATTCTCTACATTAAAGAGAGTTCTATAGAACACTAGAAAATTGGTAATAATGGCTTATAGAAAATACAGATTTTAGCTTTTATATTCATTTATGTCAAAATTTAAAAATAAAAATCGTCGTTTACAAATTTTTAACAAAATAGCAAATAATTTCTAAAAGCACCTAACTATTTGTTCTACTTTAAATAGATATTGATCCCCTAAGTTAACAGTCCCCCCCCCCCACACTCCAGCTGGAAATTCCTGGCTTCGATCCTGATTCACACATACAATTTTTTTGTATATAAAATATTTTTTTCAAAACTAAAATAATTAAATTTAAAACATCGTAAATGAACGAATAAACCTATTCGTAAGTTTTCTTTTTCTTTTATTTTTCTAAAAATCACCTTCATATATTTCTAATATATGATCTCATACTAACGAGGCTTGATTGAAATGGAGTACGTAAGGTTATGTTTAAAAATTTTTTTTTCAAAAATTCGAAAAGTTTTAAAACTCTCAGATTTCTTTCTTTCTTTCCTTTCTTTCTTTCTTTAGAAAAGTTTAATGAAATCTTATGTTAAATTTTTAAAATTTTCTAGAATTTTAAATTTTCTGCAATTCATATTTTAGACATGTTTTTAATTTCATATTAAAAATAACAACTCATTCGTGCGAGCTGAAAACTCTAAAATTAATAAATACACTTCCCTAACCAATTGCAATCTCATACCAATCGTATCCGACACAACCGGTTTTTTTGGCAATCATGCCCTAACCTTCTTCAAATCCCTTGGTAAAAAAATTCGCGCCATCACTGGTAACCCACAGGAAGGCTTCTATCTTAGACAGCGCATATCTATTGATATATGCAGATCTAACTGCATTGCCATCCACGGTTCCCTTTCTTGACCTCCTCCCACCCAACATACAATTTATTATACTAATTATTTTTTTTTTATTATACAGTTTTTTATATAGTTTTTAATTTACAAATAGTTTACATGATATTTTTAAATTACGTATATAAGTTTTACTTTTAACGTTCAATGTATTAGTTTAAAATTGTGATATAGTTTTATATAAATCTATGATGAAAAGAAATGAATTTTTAAAATATTAAAAAAGAGTATATATTTTCTTTTTCGATAAAGTTTGCGAATCGAGTTTTTTTGAGCCTAAAGCTACCTAAAATGCCAGATTGGGTACTTCTATATATGACACATATAAAATTTGGTGAATATATTTTTGAGACCTTCTAATGTAGCTTTATGTATGGGTGAATTTATGCTAGGAATTCATAAGCTATAAGAGAAATTAAAACTCATAAATGTTACTTGTTATAATAATTATGCTAATCAGATCCAATATCCTTCAATTCCTGGTCTTTATGCTTTTCTGTCTCACATGATTTAACCTTTTAAGAGATTCAATTTTTCTTCATGATTTATTTTTTTCCCCCTAATAGCATATATGTGAATATGGTTTTTAGGTCCAAATAAATGTCCACAAATTCAAACATTCACTCATCGATTCAACTTTACATTAGATATTAGAAAAGCCCAGCTTTTCCACCCACTCTTTCCGTATAAATCTCACCACATATCCAATTTCTTTATAATATTTTCCCTATCTATCTCTCTTACCTATATGTCCATATTAAAATTAAAATCCCAGCTAATATGCATGTACTCTCATAGGTGTATCCAGTATTTTCCTACGGCCATAAATTTTATTGGAGATCTTTAAATACACCTATTGTGGATCTTTAGCTATGTTATATATTTTTTTTAAAAATTTGGCTTTTCACTTTTTTTTCCTAAAAATTTTGTATTATAAAAAATTATACTTATTTTTTTTTTCAAATTATTGTTTTGGGTAAATTTTTTATTAGCTTAAGTTGATATTTACGATAACAAGCAAATTATCGATGGAGTGGAAAATTCCTCACTCAAAAAGGTAAAGTTATTTATTTAATCTTAAGATCTATTTCATTTTAAAATTTTCTTAAAAAGGAATAATTTTTCTATTTTTTATTTATGGAATATATTATTAATATATATATATATATAACAATTTGTATTAAATTTTACATTACATTAGAGTATATATTATTATATTTACAAAATAAGTAAATTTTCTGAAGTTTTTTTTTCATAAATATATTAAAAATAAATAAAATTTTACAAAAAAAACAAAATAGTATGTAAAATTAATAACTAATGTTCAAAGTTCGTGAAATTATGGATTCTATCACATCATCTAAAATTAACTAAAATATTTATTCATTCATTCTCAGTGAAGATTATAACTATAAGGATTGTCTGATATGTTATATAAATAGGTAAGGACGTGTATTTAAATTGATTATTTTGTCGTAGTGTATAAATTTAGAATTTGGGTCATTGGTAAATATTTTATAATTGATGGCCTTTTAGCTTAGTTGTTATTATTTTTTTGAATTAATTGAACTCAGCGAGACCCAATTCTATATTTTATGTGGGAAAAAAAAAATTCTCGATAGATACAAATGAGGAAGTTATATCTAAAAGTATACCATTTTCTAAGATATAAAATTCGAAATTTGATGATTAAATAATTGTAAATTGATAGAACTGAATCTTTACTACAAAAAAAAGAAGATTTTTAAGATAGAAATAAATAAGAATTATTAAGTATTTTTTGTAAAATTCATTTTGGAAGTATATGTTATACACTTTGCGAGGTCTTCGATATTATATAAATATTTTTTTTTCTTATTATAAGAGGTTAATTAATTCTTAATGGGGCTTTCCCGTTGAACATATCAAATTGATTGTTTCTAGATTCCAATCTTCCCCGATAATCTTGAGATTTTAAAGAATCTTTGTTACTTTGAAAATCATCATAGGATGACCCACTCTTGCACTTATGCCACATAATAGCGTTAAAGATATAGCCCGTGAACAAAATGACCAAAACGAGAAGGAGTGATATTCCGGCCGTGATCAATAGGTAACGCGGGTACAAGCAAATTATCCCACCAACTTTCAGCTTTTCCTCTTCGCTTTCGTTGTAAGGTTTGACGAATCCCGGGCGAGGGGAATAAGAAGACATGGAATCGAAATTTTTGAATATGGAATGGCTGACGGGATTCGAACCGTTGTTAGGGTTGGAGAATACCTTTTTGGACCCCGCAATCCCTTTAAGTTTCGACGACCGAGTGGAAGAAAGTGTTATGGGAACATTGTCAAGTGGACGGTATATGAATGGGTTATGTGATGATTTGGCTGATATAGTGGTATATTCTTGTAATGGTAATAAATAGAAATAGTAATAGATCAAAACTATATAAAAAAAAAATTTTTTTTCACTCTACCTCCACAACTGATTGACTAAAGCAATAATATATTAAGATGCAATTTCGCATGTAACTTAGGGGGGAGGGGAGGGGGTTAGGGTTTAAATGAGAGAAATATGGTTCATATAATTTTTTTTAAGAAAAAGAAGAAATCCTATATATGAACATTCCTAATTTGGTACCAAAATCTATTTCAAAGATCAGGTAACTTAGGAGATGTAGGATAGTGTTAAGTAGGCCTATTCAAAGAAAACGAATTCGAATAGAATAATAAATTATTCGTATTCGATTCGTTTAAGCAAATCGAAATTAATATTCCTATTCATACAATTAATAAAATTTGCTATTTGATTGGTATATTTACGAATAGTAAATTATTCGATACGTTTAAAAGAATGGAATACGAAAAATTCATTATTTGATTCATATTCGTTTTTGAATAGGTCTAATGTCATTGGACAGATGATTTAGGGCTAGTTCATATTATCAAAAAAAATGGGTGAGATTCCCTACATATGAACATTCCTATGTTTGGATTTAACCAAAAGAAATAAATTACTGTAGAAGTTTGTAGTAGTAAACTAAAAAAAACTATCATGACAAATAAAATATGATATTTTTATTGTATCCCATTGTCTAGCTTTTGTTTAAATTATTTTTTTTTAATGCTAACTTTGGTCTTCATAATTTATTACACTTAAAAATGGCATCTAAACCTTAGCCATCTCACTTGTTAATTTTTAATCTAAAATATATAACCTAAGAAAAACGCATAAAACTCAAATTGAGAACAACTTAATTTCGTCACTCTATTATAAATATATAGGAGTTCTTTTATAATAAACTCAAATAAATTAGCTATGAAATTTTATCGCCGAATTTGTGAATTAATAATTTTTTTATCCCAAATCGGTTAATTATTTTAATTGGTCAACGAACATTTGATAAACATCAATTCCTAAAATTGGCGAGAAAATTGGCATTGAGCTAGGACAGCTGCTTAACTTCAATTTAATCTATTTTATACGAGAGTCTAAAATAAATTAGAAATGATTATTTTATGTTAAACCAAATAAAAAAAAATTTGTTATAAAAGCTCTTAATATCATTTTTTGGTTATATTTATACTTTTAATGTCTTTGGTCAATAAGGTCGATTGCTTATCAATATAATTTTCGGCCTTTTGGGATCCCTTATTTTTTATAGACAAAACGCTGTAGAGCACTTTCGCGTCTATAGGTTCCTCTATTTTTCCTTTTATCTGGTTTATATCTCGGCGTTTGCGTTTGCGATCACTATCGTTTGTAGAAGTTTCTGGTTCACATTTGTTCTAAAATATTTTGTTAGAATATACAAAAAAACACTCATTAAATTGTTGAGGAAAATAATTCATTTATTATAATAATTGAGTTTACAGGCCAGGAGCAAATTGGGTGAAAATAATAAAATTTGTGAAAAATATGATTACAGATGCGAATTAATTGTGATATTTAGGCTTAGGCTTAACATTAAAAATTGTAGGCGAAATCGGTGATATAGTCTTAATGTTGTGACAAGGTCTAAGCTTATCTAGCCCTCCAAATTTTTTTTTGATCGGATCCCTGCAGGATGCACTATACCCAGCGATGCAATTTTATTTATTTTTTAATAAATAGGGCAGTAGACGTTACTTAAAAAGTAACGTAAGAATAGTAATTTCTGTATATTTAAGTTATTTTAAAATGTAACATCAGTATATTATACTTTTCGTGCATGCGGAAACCAAAAAAAAATATAAGTATCTCAACAATTCTATTTTCATTCCAGTAATCACATCTACTACTCTATTTCGCCTATAACATTTAAGTTTTCAAAAAGTCTTGGCGGTAAAATTAGACTTCTCATCAAAGAAGCGAAAATAAATTTTCTATTATGGTTTTTACAAATAATATTGTTTAAATGTTGTATGAAGCTAACCGAAATTAAAGAAAGATATACAAAAATTGTATGAATGAAGATGAACCATTTTAAAATATTGTTTATAATTTTAAATAATATATTTCATATTATTTTTTCAGCAGAACAACTGTTCTCGATCTGATAGCGTTCTATAATTTTCTCCAAGTAAAGTTGCCGGAATGTTCTTGGAACGTTCTGCTTCTTGTCCCAGATTATAATAATCCTCACATTATTTTATTTTTCAAATGAAAACTGGACTTAATTTTTTTGCATATTTTTACATTAGTTGCAAAAGCAATTTTCTTCTAATGAAAAATAAATATGAGTATATGTCAGTAAATTTATCTGTTCAGTGTTGAAACTCTATTTTAAAAGATTCAGAGTTGGTAATTTTTAAATTTGAAATGTCTAATTTTACCATAAATGTAATCAAAAGCAGGTATATAGTTATTAGTTATTAAACTCTAGAAATTTTCAGAAAGTCTTGCTGTAAACTTTTCGATTGGATCTTAATTTTATTTTATAAATCACTTAAATTAAAAAATATGCTTGCGTTTGTCTGAAATCTATAAGGTAGAAGGGAAGGTTACATACTAAACACGCTGAAAAATTTCGGATTTGTCTTGTATTTGAATCAATAAAAAGTATAGAATAGATTTGATAAACAGTTATTTTATTGGGTTACTAATGCATATTAGACCACGTCAATGGATACTGAATAGCTGTTATGATCAATTGAGGAGGAGAACTTTAAAAAAGAACATAAGAAATATTCATCTTATTTTCTGTTTTCAATCAATATTTTCATATTTTTTATTTATTTTAAATAATTTTTTAACCTTTTCGGCTGAATTAATAATCGCGTGATAAACACATAACATATAAAAAAAACGATAAGCGAAAATTCCATATACTATTTTGATTAAGAAAAAAGGATTAATTATCTTTAAAAATTAGTGGAGAGATTTAACTGAAAATATTTGGTTATTTGATCACTTCATCTTAATCAAGAAAAAAAATAATATTTTTTGACAAGGGGAAATATATATAAACGTAACATAATTTATATAAAATATGATTTTAAATAAAAGGTTTCTGACCAGTTGGCATTGTCCTATGCAAGGTTTGACGCGACATTCGAACCTTATGTTAGAGTCGAAAGGAAATTTGAAAGCTTTGAATAGCGCGAAAATGGAGTTACTTCGTTTTTGCCGGCGGAAATTTTGCACCAAATCTGGATCGAGGGAACAACTAAGTATAGAAATAAAATTTCATAAGTTAAAATTTTATTTTAAAGTTTAAAAAAAGAAAGAAATGTATATGTATATATATATTTATATGTGACCCACAACGTGAATGTGACTATATGTGTATGAAATTTATAGGATAGATATTATACACGTGATGGAATTCATTTTAGGCAGAAGCAACTTTTTGAAATTTAAAAAAATGGCCAACATAATTTGTTGTATGCGTTTTTTTGATTTCTTCTGAAAAATATATTACAGTCAGTATAGCGTTCTTAAAGGGGTCGATTTGAGCCGATTTCTAAAAACGGAACATATTGGCCAGAAAAAATAATGCTAAAGTCTAGAGATTTTTCTAATGATGTCCAGGCCCTTGTGTCATATATGAGCAAAATCTTTAGGCTTGTATAATACTTTTTTGGCTACTACATTAACTTAGCCGTTTAACAACACTCCAGTATATGTGAAAAATAGCCTATAAATTTTAGAAGGTTTGGCCATAAATCATGTGAGTTATCTTTAAATTTATTTGAATATTAAATTATGCGTATTAACTGAACGTATTCGGATATGAATACGCAGGTCGGATCGGTTCATTGTTCTCAAATAAAGGATCGGTCCTAAATAAAAAAACCTGTTCATCAATCGGTTCAGTCGTGATTTAAGACCGATAGAACCGTTAAACTTTCCAATTTTTATAGATTTTTACCACAATTTATTTTTGATCATATACAAACTTAGAAACTGCATGAATAAAAAAATGATAAATTTCTCTGGGAAGGAGGATGGGACCAGAAATTAGAGATACGGGCTATCCAATATTACAATATCCGTAGTTATAGCCTTGCCTGATAATTTATAAGAAAACAAAGGGTATATTTTCAAATAATACAGTAAATATAAAATATAATTATAAGAAGGAGGAATATTAAAATATATGATTGTGGCTATCATCGGTGACATAAGACTAACGCTTGATTTATAGTAAGAGCAATTTGCTCAAGTTGATTCAAAAGTAATCGCGGCATATTTTAAAAAAGGGAGCAAATAATAGGTAGGGGAGACTGGAATGAAGTAAACACCGGGGTTTATTTAATTCAGATTAAGAGGCGCCGATATTGAGAGCTTATTTATAAATAAATAACCCATTTTCATCTATTAGCTGAACTCTCTGCTTTTCGTCATTTATGTCGGTTGCCCAGCAATCGTAACCATTGATTCTGTATGATGGGTCTATAGATTTATTTAAAAATAAAAATTCCGGTTAATATAAATATTTGCATCAGCTGACAATTAACAGCTCGGAGACTTGATAATAATTTCAAATGACCAGCACTTTATTGAAAAGAGATTTAACTTGAATATCAATTTGAAAAAAATTATAAGCATTAGTCGCGAAAAACTGAATTTTTTATTTTAAAAAAGTAATGATTATTATTATTTAAACAAAGAATCCTTAAAGCGAACTCATCCGATCCGACCAATTATTAGATGATAGAATGGGGGGAAGGGGGGAGGAGAAGATAGTTTTTATTATTGTGTTAAAAAATAATATACCTGAACATTTAATGTATAGCATGAGTATTTCACCCACGTTAGCTTCGCTGATCAATTCTCTCCGCTTGTCTACTACGTTCATATAGCAATTTATTGGAGCGGGAGTATTTTTTAAATTTATCTCGAAATTTTCAAATCTTGACATTTTATAATATTATTTTTTTAAAATATAAATTTATTTTTAACAAAAAATAATATGTGTGTGTGGAGGGAGGGGAGGCGGTTATAATTTGTTTGTATTAAAATATTACAATACAAAAATCAGAAAGGAAGGCATATAAAATAGAATCTTTACTACATTATGACCAAATAAAAATAAGAGGACCTCATATTAGGCCCTATTCAAAAACGAACATAAATGGAATAGTGCATTATTCTTATTCGATTGGTTTAAACGAATAATTTACATTAATTTAAAAAAATTTTATTTTTATATTGTACCTATTATGTTATTTAGTTTAAAATTTTCCTCAATAAAATAGATTGTCAGCCCTAATAAGGAAACCCTGATTTGAGCCGATCCAAATATAAGATGAAAAATTTATCTGGTCCATTATTTTTGGACATTTGTATCTTTACCAATTGTTTTTTACTGCTAATGTATTTGCATACATATATATATATGCAATTTAAGAGTGTTGGAGTAATAAGCTTTATAAATGAGTCTAGATTAGTGTTGTTAAACGTCTCGATTTGAGCCGGTTTATAAAAAGGGATAAGTCAATATTACGGAAAAATATTTACTCAAACCTTAAAATTTTTTTCATAGATGACACAATGGTTTAAACATCTATTAACGAAATCTTAGGGCTTAGGCAATATTTTTCTGGCTATAATATTGAGTTAACCATTTTTAAAAATTGGCTCAAATCTAACCATTTAACAATATCAATCAAGATCATTTATTAAATCTTTAAAATCTTTTGGAATTATCATTTTAAATAGTGGTTTTGATATATTAATTTTAAGATAATATGTGTATAACAAATTCAAAAAAAGCACATATCATTTTAAAAAAGTTCAAAATGGTGTAAGTAAAACTAGGAAATAAACAATAAAAATGCGAATTATTTTAAAAAAAATAGAATTTCGTTAATTTTTATTTTTGATTATTCGTTATTTAAACAAATAAAAAAATATTTTCTATTTTTATCCGTTTCTATTCGATTCTAATTATTCAAAACGAATAGAATATTCGATTTGTTTATTCGATTCATTTTTGAATAGGCCTATCGGATATACGTTATCATCATGGCAATGCCGGTTCCTAATTAATGAGTTAATTTATTAAAAAAAATGAAAAAGAATGGATTGGAACGAAAAAGAATGAATAGGAATGAAAAAACATGGATAGGAATGAAAATAACATAAAGGAATTGTAAACAAACTAAAAAAAATGTAACACTTTAAAAATAATATATTTTTTTAAACTTCTTTTGATCGCTGCCCATTCGACTCAAGACCCTAATAGTTCTAAAAAAATAATTATTTTTTAAATACATATATATATTTTAAAGTGAATTATATATAATATATTCAAATTTTATGCCTGACCCTTATTTAAATATTTCCGTTTTTAAGCTGGGAACGGCCTTGGATCAAAAAAAATAAATCTTCAACTCCTAGAGTTATATTTCTTTAATTATTATAACAGATGGGCCAAGATTTTAAAAATTGAATCATTTTATCCCCCATCCAGATTATTAAATTATTTCTGGTCTTTAAAAATATTGACTATATTTTGTAAATTGTTTCGAGGATAAATTTAAAAACGAGAAATTATTTTTTTTTTAATTGATCTAATTTTAAAATTCGGTTCACCCCGGGTTTTATATAAAAGAAAATATTTATTAAGCAAGTCTAGGGTTCTTAACTTATTCTAGATTGAGATACCGGCCCGCTCCGAAAATAATCGTATTAGAGGCTGCTCATATATTTTTAATTCTCCCCTTGAAACAATTTACAAAATACGGCGAAAATTAATTTAAAATACATAAAATTTTAAATACTAGAGGTTTGGGTTAAAAAAAAGGAAGCATGGCTACGAAAATGTAGAATTTTTAAAATCTTGCCCGAGTTTAAAAAAATTGAGCTTCCGAAAGTTTATGAAATAAAGAGGAAAAAAAAGAAAGAAAAGAGAACTCATCTAATAATGCATAATCGCTTTAGCCGATTTTTAAAAAACGGCTAACTCAATATTTTATCTTATGCAATCCTAAATATTTCGCTCATAGATGTCACAAAGGGTTGGACATCTATTAGCGAAATCTTGAGGACTACTGGCTAAAATAATGAGTTAGCCATTTGTAAAAATAGGCTCAAATGGAGCGATTTTGCATCACTAAACCCATCTCTTCTAATTCCAATCTCTTCACAAAACTTCTATTATTCGTATTTGTCGTATTAGGACATGGAATCCAGGAATTTGGAATAGAATACATACTTTATAAATTTCAGACAATTTTTCGCCATAAACATTTGTCTATTTTTTTTAAAATTTATATGAAAAATCTATATATAAACGGACATTAATTAAAAGTATATTTCATCAGTTCTAATAAAAAATTATGCGAAATTCACGGTGTTGGGTACTCTATACATGTTGGAATCAATGATGTACATATACTACTTAGATTGATGATTTATTTATTGAAGGCATTTTAAAAAGTCCATACATTAGCCATTTTTTGGCTTATACGTCTAATAAATAACATTATGTGCTTTCATATAATGATAAATTAAAGACAATTAGTCGAAGTGCAAACCACAAAATGGCCCTACAGCTGACCAATGATGTAGCGGAGTTTTGCCTCTAGACTTTTCGTCTATAGCTTTTTAGCCTAAGGAGCGCCAATAACTGGAAATAAGTAACCATTTCGCTTATAGCTTTTTTACCTAAGAGCACCAAAGAGTTCCAATAAGCATCAATGAGTGCTAATAAGCGACAATCCAATGAGTCCTAATAAGCCCCAAAGAGATAGGCGCCAATGAATATTAAGTCCCAAATTGCAAGAGATCCTCTAAACTTTAAATTTGCTCAAAATATTAATAATCGTTTAAAATTATTTACTATCAACATTTATAGACCCTAATAAAATCCAAGTACCTTACAATCATCGGTTGATGAAGCTGATATAGATAGAATTGAAATTTCTTCTGATGGTATTTAGCTTTTTGTTTTATTTTTAATTTAAAGTTATGGTAACTTCTAGACATATAGAAATGTTGTACCTTGGATATTTTTATCATCATAATGGATTAGAGGATGGTATAGTGTATTACAGGTGTATATTTAACAATTTTTAATCTAAATATTTATTGTGATAGGTATACCCACAGAAATTGTATAGCTAATGGATATACTAATGGCATAATTTTTGATGTTCTGATAAATCATAATCACATAGATGACGAGGAGAAATAATTTTATCTAAAAACCATTCAGAAACTAAAATAAATGCCTTCAAAAAGAAGCCCCTTGAGTAACGGTTATTTATAACCAGGTGATGGCATGGGTTGAAGAAACCGTTGATATTCAAAGATATCTATCAGCTATACCCCTACTAAAATCAATCTCTAAAACTAGGATTTCCGATCGTCCAATAAGTCCAAATACGACTGATGATATTGACTTAAACCAATTTTCTAATACTTTTGGTGGAGATTTATTTTTATCATGAAAAGATATTCTAATATTTGGCACCTTACAATTTTTAAAAATAATGTATTAATCTGATATCATTTATTCAGATGGTACATTTTTCATAGCACACTTCTATTTAAGCAGGTATACATAGACATTCCATATTAGGGCAATATAATATGTGTGTTATATTGCACCCTTTTAAATAGAGTAACTTATATATTGTTTATCATGGAAATGCAAAAATGTCAGGAATTTGTATTGGTTTTTAATCCAAAAAGAGCTATGATTGATTTTGAGCTAGCTACCAAGCATGTCCTGGAAGATGTATTCTCGAACATAAAAGTTCAAGGTACAATTTAAATTTTTTGAATTTTATAAATTTTGACATATAGGATGCTTGTTTCATTTAAATCAATTGGAGGTTTGTAATGAATAATCAGCTTGTGACAATTTTTTATTTAAATAATGAGGTAAAACTCATTGACGCTTATTAGTACTCTTTGGTACTTATTAATATTTATCGGTGCTTATTAGAACTTATTGGGACCTTATTAGTATTCATTGATGTATTAGCACTCATTGTGACATATTCATATTTATTAGCTCTTATTAGTACTCATTGGTGCTTATTAATGCTATTTGGGATTATAAAATATTCATTGGCGCTTATTAGTACTTTGGCTCTTATTAGCACCTATTGGTGCTTATTGGTTGGCGGTTAGTGTGGCTCTTAGGCAAAAAAGCTATATGTGAAATGGTTACTTACTGGCGCTCCTTAGGCGAAAAAGCTATAGGCGAATCAGGCAAAACGCACCCACCCTGACCACTATGTATGAAAACTTATAATTAGTGAATCGCCAATTTAGTCGGATATACACATCATTGGTTGGAATATATTTCTAATCAAAATCAGATTTTCCAGATTTAAAAATTGCTCTCGGTGAATGATTATAAATTGAGAGATTGGAATCTCAATGAATTTTACATATTTCCATTACGACATATTATATTAAATTAATATCTATTTATAGATATTTTTTATAATTTAGGAATTATATAATTTTTTGTAAAAAAGAAAATAATATCTATTTTTACGATATATTAACGTCACTGACGGCTTTTATTTCGGTTATAGGATAGCTGCACATAATAGTGAAAGATTGCGAATTCTTGGTGATTAGAGGAGGCGTTGTCGTTAGGATGATGCCCAAGGTATATTTGATCATACCTCCATTCTAGGGGGAGGGGAATAAAATAAAATAATTTAAAACAAAATATTATTAAATTTAAGTAATAAATAGGCTAGTGGTGATCCCCGTCAAACTAATGCAAAACAAAAACCAAATTTTTGCAAAACACAAATCTAATTTCATTAAAATGTTATGAAACCCATTTTTAAAATATCAAATGGTGGAATCATAAGGGTGCCTTCAATCTACTATATATCATGCTCAGAGGCAAATAACCACCTAGTTAGCTTCAGGGATAAACTGGGTTTTCCTGGATTTAAACCCTTACCTAATCCAGTAGTCGATATAGGCCATGTAGGACTAGGTCACAAACTGCACTCCAAAATGGTATTTTTTCGTGTATAAACAATTAAAAACGACGTGTTACGACATTTTTTTAAAAATACATAAATTAAACCCGTTTGGGGAAAGTCACTACTCTAATAAAGTTATCTTTAGCAAAAAAAATTAAGTATAAAAATAGAGTATTAACGTAATCCTAAATATAGAAATACAAATTTTTATGGTATATACAAAAATCCTATATTGTAACCAATTACATATAATAATACTTAGACTAATTCATTCATAATAATGCATTTTAAAGCGTCGTTGAATGTAAATCAGCTGGAGACTACGTGGCGCACTACATTTTGGTAACCTATACAGGATTCAGATTATTTGAATTTGGTCTGCTAATTACATATTTTCTTAATAGCCTTGTGAGAAGGGATATTATTTTACTTAGCTTGCCTTAAAATTTTTTGTATATGCTATATCAAGATGACGTCATAATGGCATCCTCGGCTGTTTTTCATTGATAAATGCATCGTCCTAACCAACGACATTATGACACTTATCTGAACTGACGATCCATTCATTAAAAAGCATTTTGAAACTTCGTTGAATATAAATCAACTGGTAACAACGCCATTTAGTTTCCCCGAAAAATTTCTTATTATAAAACTCTGAATTAAAAAAAAAATATCATAAAATTTGATTGTAAAATTGTTTATATAGGGAAACCAAAATGGCTAACCATCAGCTGATTTATATAGTACACATTTAAGTCTTGGTTTTATTATTATGTCATATAATTGTAACATATTTATCCATATCTAAATATTTTATAGAAAATACCAGTTAAATAATGGTGATATTAAAATAATTATTGTTTACAAATATTTCCATATGAGTCGATTCCAAAAAGATTTGCCCGAATCTTTAATTGAAAAAGGGCCAACCTTTACGTTTAATCCAAAATAAAAATCGGCTGGTCAGTCGCATTAAAGGATCTCTCAACATTAATTCTTAATCTATTCCCCAAAGCATTCCTACGGTAGGAAGGGGGTGGGATGGGAGACCTTATCACGTTGTAGCAGTATAAATAGGTTTCCTTAATCAAAACTATTAACTTCTTTTGGAATATAATAAATGAATGTAGGTAAGTCATAAATTTTAAGAATCAGCTGTTCCAAGCTGTGTTTTTTTATATTATAATTACTCACTATGTTTAACTCGGCGCCACATTCGTCGTATCCAAATTGCAAAGTCTTTAAGGATGCTCGCGGAGAATTGCTGAATATTTCCCTTTGGCACTCCAATAGTTTAGGCTTACCATATATGATGGCTTTGTAAAATGGAGGAATTTTTAGTAACAATTCCGCCTTATCCCAATAACACAATACTTTTGAAGAAAAAAAATATAACATATGTAAAAAAATTTATAAATAAACGATCATTTTAATATTAATTAGATGGTGATAGGAAACATTTATATGACTTAAAAAGATTATGGCTCAACTCAAGAAAATTGCCGTTACAACGACTGATTAATTTGAATTTCTATTCGTCTATTTATAATCACATTGTCAGATTTGACAGGTTAAGTAATAAAAATTGATTTCAAACATAACTTACCCTAACCCATATCTCTCAAACATTTTTTCAGGCTTAACCCATATATACTTTAGACTAGTGTTGTTAAACGGCTCGACTTGAGGCGATTTTTAAAAACGGCTAACTCTATGTTTTATTCAGAAAAATATTATGCAAGCCTAAAGATTTTGCTCATAGATGATATAAAGGTTTAGACATCTATTAGCGAAATGTCGAGGCTTAAGCAATATTTATCCAGCTAAAATATTGAGTCAGCCATTTATAAAAATCAGCTTAAATCGAGCCAGTTAACAACACTACTTTAGACACTTGTTTAGTTTTAAATATATTTTATCCAATTATAGTTGAACATTCCTTGGATATGAACTATTATCACTCAAGATTTAAAGCTAAATATTAACCCAGCATTCCCAGTTAGCGCTAAACTTCCAGCGAATTTACGCTTACTATGAATGCAGGGCAAGTCTGATACATTTAGAATAAAATATTTTGACCTATAAATATATAAAATTTCAAAATAACCTTTATAATCTTGTTCCAGCGGAGAATTATCTTCATCTCTTGTTTTATTGTTATCGGTAAAATTTGCAACGGATGCCCTTTGCTTTTCAATTTTCTTAGATTTGGTAACTTATTTATTTATTTTTAATGGATATTAATTAGTAAGAAAAGTGTATCCTACAATTATTAATAATATTTAATTTAAAAATCAAGTGTAAAATAAATTTTCGAAAAACATTTATTTTTATGAGGCTGATTATTTATATTACCATATAAAATTGTTTGAAATTATACGGTAGTTATTTTACAAATACTGAAATATATTTCTGTCAAAATCCGATCTTTATAAATATTTTTTTTTAAAAAAAAGTGGTTAGATGAATGGTTTATAGTTTGTGGACAGAGAAAAAAAAAATATAACTTTTTACGAGGCTTTTTAAAGTTTGAAGATATATTTTTGTCGAATGTTTTATAAAATACCTATCCTATAAAACTTAATTTCAGATGATTGGATCTTAAAATTTTGAGATATTTTTTAATTTACATTATACCAAAATTTGACGGAGGCGACTGAAGACTGAAATAATATAACTTGAAAAGAGAGAATTTTGGAAAGAAAATATCAAAGTTTCATATTATTTATTACTGTATTACATTTTTTTTAATATAAATTATATCATTTATTTTTTAATTTCAAAAGGTCTTAATTTTTGCCGGATTTGTATTTCTAGCATGTAAAAAAGAATATACTTTAGGGTGCATTACTGGGATACGATCAGGCACGATTTAACAGCTGATTGATATTTAAAATCTGTTTATATTATCAATAGTTCTTAGATTATTATCATGAATTGAGTTGAAAGATAAATTTAATATTAATTAAAAAAAAATTGATCTCATAAACAGATTTTTAAAATTGATCAACTGTTAAATCGTGTTAGATAGGATCCCACTGTGAATGCAGCTTTACCTTGTGTTCAGCAACCGTAAATTTTTTGTGTACTTTTTTTTAAAAATTTATATATGTTAGGGTCAAGTATATATATAATTATAAATTAATAGTAATTAAAAAGTTATCGAATAAATCTTTCTATTTTAACAAAATCGCGTATTTCAAAATTAAAAAACGGGCCTTATAAAATTTATTAATAAAACCTTCATTAGATTGTCGATCTGTGAATGAATCTATACTAGCGCTAGATGGGAAATATGTCGAAGCCGAAACCATAGGTTTTATCGTGGTGTCTCGTTTTAAACTACTAATAGACGAGGTTATTACTGAATCACTTTTTACATGGGGCATCGCGATCAATGCTGATTTTTTAGGCACTACTGACAACGTTTTTTTCTTTTCCAAAGATGCAGCTTTTCCAACAATTAAAAATCAAATTATTTGTTTAATTTGTTATATACGTTCGATATATATAGAGGTAGTAGAACCTTTTTGCAAAATATTTCATTAGTTTCGGGAAATCTATTTAAATATTGACTATTATATGAAGGGAACGTCAGAAGAGTGACTACAGCCTACAATCAAGTTGGTAGAATAATATACTAAGATAGTTTTGGTGTAAGAAGATTTTAAGAAGGTTGGTGAATATTATTAATACTAAAGAAATTAAGATTAAAATGAGTAAAATTAATATAGATGGTGAAGAGATTAAGAAATTTTAGAAGTGATTCTATGCAAAAAATATTACCATCATTACTGGAAATATATGGTACAGTCGTTGTAAAATTATTACTGGAAGCTATTACAGAATTTATACCAACTTGTTGTTTTAATTCTGTGATGTCGGGCAATGTAACGACACCTTCCGTAGAATCGGTCGCTAAAATATATATTAAAATTTAATAGTAAATATGATATTTACAAAAAGGATATGATTTGTACATAAATAGTTAAGAATGTATATTTTTGTTCCTTGTGGTAGTGATGCAAAATCGATCCATTCGAGCCAATTTTTAAAAAACGGCTACCTCAGTATTTCAACCAGAAAATTATTACGCAAGCCTAAATATTTCGTTCATTGATGGCACAAAGGTTTGCAAATCTATTAGAGAAATCTCAATGCTTAGGTAATATTTTTCTGGCTAAAATATTGAGTTTGCCATTTTTAAAAATCGGCTCAAATGGAGTCACTTTGCATCACTACCTTGTGGAACTATATTTAATATTTTTTACAATTCATTAACTCTTATATCACTTTTGATAAAAAAAAAAGAAGATTAAAGTTGATATTCGAATCGAATTCTATAAATTACGCATAAGGCTTTTATCTAAGTTCGAATAAATTTTAATAATTGACACTTTTATATAATATTAGATATATTACCTGTTGATGTAGAAGAATAATCTGAATCATCGTTAGTTGACAAAAGTAAGTCTTCATATATTTCAGATGTATTGTAGTTATCGAAATCTTTTGGATAATAATAAATAATGTGAAATATTAATGAATATCATATAAAAGATACTCATAATTATATGTAGCCAAAGTTATTTTTTTAAAAAAAAATAATAGCCTTAAGGTAAAATATTTTTGGAACTATGATTGAAAGATTGATATAATACTTAAAATTATTCAACCAATCGAATCAAATGTTTTAATATTCGTTTTTAAACGAATACTAACATTTGAATATTTCAAGTAGTTAATTATTTGTATTCAAAAAACGAATCGAACGAATGAGAAGGCCAAGGATATTTTAGGGGAAAAAAAATGAGGAAAAAAGTTAAATTATTTCGTATTTTACTTGTGGAGGATGATAGGTAGGACGAATAATAGGAAGAAGAAAATGAGAAATCGGTTGTGAAGGACATCAACGGTAGTAAGGTCGTAGTTTGAGTTGATTCATTTGCTGCTAAATAACAATTTATTTTTATTTTATTTTGAAATGTTCCCTTTTTGGATCATAAAATTTTGCCTTTATAGAGTTAAGAAGAACTAAGAAATATTTTATTATAATTTAAAAATTTATGGTGAAAGAAGATAGGAAAATAACATTTTTTTCAAAAGAATTAATACTTATTTTAAGCAATTTAAAAAAATAATAATAATAAGTTTTCAAAATGAATCCTCTATTACTTTTGTGAACTTCTATGTTTTGGGGGGCTTTGGTAATGTTGTTGGTAGCTACAGAGAACAATTTCTTGACAACTAAAGATTTTATTTTAGATACGATAATGATTTATAAATTTAAAAAAATAGAAATTATCAAAACTAAGATTCATTTTTTTTTACCTTAGCAAAAAATTTCAATTTTAAATTACAATTACTTATTTTTTTAAATTTAGTATTCTCATTAGAGTCCTGTAAAGCAATTTTTCGCGGCCCGATCCTGCCCCAAACTTAAAAAATTGTGCCCGAACTCGACCCGAGCTTTAGTAATTTTTTTCAGCCAAACCAGAACCCGATAAAAAAATCTTTGGTGATGTGTATTTATTTCACATATTACCACCTTAAATAAAAGTATATTAATCTTTAATTTTATAAAATATATAAAATTTGAGTATCAAATGAAAAATATTTCATAACTGTTATATAATAGATTAATATTCTAGATTTTATATTTGCTCAATGCAAAATATAATATATATATTTTATTTATAACTTGATAGAATCTCATGAGTATATAAGTAATAGAATTTTAACTTACAAATCACAATCACAGGAAATTGTTAATTTGGGAAAAGGAAATTACGTAAATGAATGAGTGAAATGTGCTAGATGAAAAAATGGAAGGTGATTCTGATTGACATTTTGATGAAACAATATAATTACTGAGGATATTTTTAATTCTCGGGCCTCGGGTCGGGTGTCTCTTACAGTGACTTGAGACCGAGAAAAAAGTTTTTAATGTCCGAGCCCGAGATACGAGTCAGGCTTCGGAAGGCTCTAACTCTCATGATGTCTATTGGACCTTAAGAATGTTAAAACAAATATCGCGTATAAAACGTTTTTTAAAAAAATTCGATCCCAATTATTCAATCGCTTCGTTTGATTATTGGCGGAAATTTGAAATTTATAAAGATAGGTTACTATACACATACGGGAGTAAATTTTTTGAAAATAAGATTTTATTCAAATTTAAAAATCGCCCCTCAGGGTATGATTTCAAATTGTGAGATTCGGAATCCACGAGGATTCCAGGTAAAACAATCGCTCTTACAAATCTAACCTTTTCGTTTTGTTGTGTCTTATTTTTTTAAAAAATGCCAATTTTATTGAGAAAGAATGAACACTTATGCTTAATTTTGTAAGCACTAAGGCTGTGTTCTGAGTTGACTCAATTTGGATACTTAATTACTTTTTAGCATAAGCTAAAAAGTTATTGAGCTAGTTCACCCTATGTTGGTTTGTTTTAAAATTTGTGGCAATATTATTTTTTGTATTTTATTCATATTTTTTTTTTGTTTTTTTGCATTTTTTGGTTGATGTTTATGTTTATTTATTGATTTTTGGGAAAAATATTTTCTTTTGTTTTTATTTAGTCGATACTAAATAGCAGGCCTTTAAGTAAGTCGAGCCAGGAGACGGTCTAAAGACTGGTTACAAATAAAGTATCTTGATACATTAAATTGGAAGCGAAAACAAAAAAAATTCATGTTTTGGACATGGTTTCAAATATATTTTTATAATTTATATAATTTTTGATAAAATTCTAATTATATTGGTGGTATAATTTTGTAAGGTAATAAATTAATAAAGAAAATTTCAATGATATTGTAAAAATAATGGAAGAGAAAGAAATATATAATTCTTGTGATATAAAAATATTAAATAAATATATTACCTTTAATCTTACCCGAGGAATTATTTTTAGCAATAACATTAACGTTGACGCGATTAGGAGCTGAGCTCGATATTTTTTTAACAATCTTTTCAGGTAACCTTTCAGATATATTTCGCAGAATATCAACTGCGAATGTCCTACTTTTAAGGGATTTATTTGTAGATTTATTAATCTTGACAGATGTATTGCGATCTTGTATTTGTTTTTTTTGGCAAATTTGTATTATTAATTTATTTATTCGAAAATTAAATTTTATATTGGAAGAAAGTGTAATATTTATAGGTAGCAATTTTATTTCTTTAAAGTTCTTTATATACTATATAATTATTAATATTTTTTAAATAGCTCATTATCTAATATATATTTTTTTTATTTAAAAAGTTGAATAAATATATTATTTAAAAAAAAATATTATTAAAAGGGTATATCCCCGAAGATTAAATAGTTAAAACACAATATCTTAGTGTGAGATAAACATATTATATCTTATGAATGAATAATATTTTTAAAATTTTAATACTTTGCATTGCCTTGACTGAGCCATTTTTTTCGAGTAATCTGGGTAAAGCTTTAACCTCAAAACTTCTATCAGGAACAAAAGTTCGATTTGCTATCAAATTTCTTTGTTTTACTCGTTTCTCTATAGCTTTAACCGTGATCAATAGTCGGGGTGAAGTATGAGAGCCGTGTTTAGACACGTTAAATTTTCTAGGAATAGTTAATTTCTTGACCATCAAAGAATCTGGATCTTTAGATTTTAATGTGCGGATATTCTTAACGTCTTTCTTCAAGATTGTACTAATGACTGGTCTTTGGAGGTAAGAAACAGCGGGACTATCTTTGCCTGCTCTAAATTTTTTAGGAATTACTACTTTCTTGAGCATCAAGGGATTCAAATTTATTGATTGTGACGTGCGCACCTTTTTCGCATCCTTCAAAACTGTAATTATTATGGGTCTCTTGAGGGTAGCAAGTGAGTTGCTGTGTTTACTTTTAGTCACGTTAAAAATTTTAGGAGCTACTAATTTCTTGAGCATCAAATGTTTTGGATTTTTACTTGCTTTGGATGTACGAGTTCTTTCTCGGAAATAATTTTTAACACCAACTTTGTTTTTACCGCCGATCGTCTTTTTATCTGAGCCATCCTTTTTGTTAACCTTCACTAGGTGTTTGGATTTGGTCCTAGGGGCTTTTCCTTTTAGCATCTTAATATCCCTGTTATCCTTTCTGACCATTATGAATGGAAGGATGGTTGACAAAGTTTTCCCACGTTTAGTGGGGATTGATATCCGTTTGGAAGTTGTGAAGGGAGTTGTACTGATTCTCCAATTTTCTTTGATAAGTTTTTCTGTTGAATTAGAATAATAAATTAAAATTTTTTTATAATTACGTTGTGTAAATATGCTGTATAAACTATGGACTTAATATTATCATAAGCAGATTACATACCTTTTCTTTTTTTAAAGGTGATCCTATTCATATTAATTTAATCAAAATATCGACGAAAAAACGCCATCTAGTGAACTTTATTTTGTTAAGTTTTATAAGTGAAATACATTATATCTAATACATATCTCTACACGAATCACTTAAAAATTTTTCTCATTAAATTTCAAAAATAGGATTTTAAGAAACCTTACGCATAAAATATTATAAACGATAAGTAATATTTTAATGTTAATTTAGGTAAACACATCATTTACTTTTTTTTGACTTGTTTTAAAACAACCTATGGACCTAATATAGCAATAAATATTTTAAAAAAGCAAAAAAAAACTTTTGTGAATCTTATTTGTCCTAATATCTTCCTTTTTGAATTCCTGATGGTTGTGAATTCGAGATAAAGTTTTATTCTCAAATTTGTTAACGATGCGTGGTATGTTCACTATTATTTTCGTAATGTTTCGGTAACGGTCGTCGGTCTTGGCTGCAAACGATATATTGCTTGATTTGGAATTTTGCCTTTCGAAGGATATTATGACGGTTTGTTTACGAACTAGTGGTAATTTTTAAATTTTTAAAAGTTTGGAAATTCTATACATCTCAATCCATACGTTTAAACAAAGCTTAAAATCGCGCTATTTTATTCGCCAAAAGGTTTAAAAAAACATGTAAATAGTAAGTAGCAAAGGTCACGGAGGGGTTTGGTTACGGAAAAGAGACTATTATACACGGACCGGACCGTAACATGGTCCTCAAATAAAAGACCGGTCCAGACCGTTGTTGTAAATAAAAAACGGTAAAGCAAACATTTTTGTTTCGAAAAAAATTAGTTGGAATCAAATTGCGCCATTTTAATTGCTTGCTGGAACGTAGCCATAGAGTTATTTTGAAATTAATAAAATGAATCAAAATTTATATTTTTTTTAAAATATAAGATCTAAATATTTACCTGGTTTTAATAGAAGGGGGTTATTTTTAGCAAGAGACGCTTTTCTCTTTGAAGCCTTTGGGACGGAGCTCCTCGATTTAGAAACATTTGATAACGCTTTTACAAGCTTCGTATCTACGAGTGGTTTTTCTTTGTATATTAAGAATATTGGAAGAAATCGAATGAAATATTTAGTTCTTTATTATCAATGTTGTTAAATGTTTAACCCACACATAAGTTATTTAAAAAAATATCAAATTT